GGTAGCTTGCAGCTAACTATGGTGGGAGTGATAGCTGCCCTATGCATTGCTACGAGATTAGGTTTACATTAACGAAGCTTCATCGTCATGTTGGCTGGATCTGAGCTTTCAGATGCCATCATTCATTCCTCATTATAAACAATGTTAGAATATCTATAAAGCCAGTAGCTGACAGCCAGCTTCATTCCATAGATGTGACTGGTTTCACTTGTGATATATATTTAAAGTTTGCTTAGTTTAAAATGGGAAGATTTCACATAACAATATGGATTTCTGGTTTCTCTTGGATCATTTGACAACACTGGATTCTGTTAACCACATGGCAGCAAGTGGCTGGAGGTGAACGATAGCTGTCTTTCTAAATAAGATGGATTTTCTGTTACCATATGTCTAGTCAAGAGCTGCACTGCTTGGTTTTCTCACTGTCTCCCATAATAGTCTTGCAGTCCTGGTGTGGTGTTGTCATTCTGTAAACACTGACCCCAGGTCAGTGGTTCAAACCCACCAGCTACTCCTCTGAAACCCTATACAGGGTTGCTGTGAGTCGGAACCATCTTGAAGGCACTTAATTAATAACAACAACAACCTATAGGAGGCATTTGAGTTTGTTACCCCTGATTGAAATGTAAGCCCAGAGAGAGTATTTCTCAATACCTTAGATCTTAACATGTTGTTCTAGGTTTTCTACAAAGTTAACCCAGTTGTAGTAATGTAGATATAAAGTCTGTTGAGTGGATTCATTTCCAACTTGTTTCGAATTTCAGATAGTCTTGTTTCAAAACCCAAGCATTGCTTTCATTTGGGGGCTTGTCCTTTTTCCTGGGTGATGAAGACTTTTGATGAAGGCTTCTAGAGGTCTCTGTGAAAGTGGCTACTATCTCTTTCTCAGTCTGTAGGTTTGTGACTTCGGGCTTCAGAAATAGCCATCTGACAGTAACTTGTGTAGAAGGGACATTTTTTTGTGTTTTGCTGCTAATACTCCATTTTAGGTTTTCTAGGGGAAAGGTGAGACATAATGGTGTTTTCTTTCAAGTCAAAGTTGTATGGCCTTAGTTTATTTGCCTTGACAGATTTTCCTTCTTTCCTAGCATGGTTTCAGGATGTCCAAACACTATCTCTGTCCGTGTTTGATGTTGACTGTGGACATGGTCATCAATATTGCCCATTGACCTCTGATTAATTTTTAAGCAGATTAACCTCTGGTTCCAAGTCTGGCTGATGAAACTGCTCCTTTTCAGTTTAGAGTGATCCAGATGGTCATAACTCTTCCTCTGTCCTATTTAACAAATGTTTATTTAAAAAGTGTTCTGGAGATGCCTTTGAGCACGATACTGAGGAGCACCCAATGAACCAGAAAGCAAGCCAGATACTGTGACGGGTAAAGGAAGAGCCTAAATAGGGCCGAAGTGTCAAGGAGGACAAGAGGACGTAGCATGTCCACTGCTGCTATCACTCACCTTAGGGTCCTGGCATGGCTCTGTGGATCAGCACTGGACTGTGAACCACAAGGTCGGCAGTTCAAACCCACCAGCTGCTCCTCAGAAACCCTATACAGGATTCACTATGAGTGGGAACTGACGTGACAGCACTTAATAATAACATGGCCCACCACACTCTTAAATCTCCTGATAGTTACATACCTAAAGTATTAAAAAATAAAATAAAATAGGTAACAGTAGGTGTTGAGTTGATTCCGATATTGGTGACCCCATGTGTATCAGAATAGAACTGTGTTCTGTAGGATTTTCAATGGCTGATATTTTTTATTAAGTATTAGCATGAATAATTCCACATCCTGGGTGGTAACCTATTGTAGCCACCTCTGCTCTGTGGGAGAGAGTCAGTGGTTTTTTTTTTTTTTTTTAATGAGTCAATGGATTTTGTTGACTATTAAATTCAAATGAGTGACACAGAATCAAAAGTTGTTCCTAACAATTAACTTTTGTTATAAAGATGATATCTTTTTGGCAAAATCCATTAGCATA